CTATAGAACAATAATCAGTGAATGTACTAGCTGATTAAGTCTAGTACTATGTAAGGATTTAGAAATAACAGAGCAGATGCTGTTTTTGTTGCTCTGCTTATAAATTCTTAAAACTATCTACATTGTGGCAGTCAGGGCTGTTTTGAATTCTCGAAGAGTAGTAGAGTAAATTGTTACCCCTTATTTTTTTCATCAAGGGTGGTATATTTGTTTCCACAATTGTAATTTGGGACTTACTGGTCAATGGCATTTGGGGGGAATAAATTACCAAGTGCTAACTCCAAGTTTAGATCTTAAGAACTCCAAGTATTTGCACTTACTCTCTGTGTATTCTCCCACCATCATAAGAAAAATTACCCAGGGTGATAGCAGTCTTTCAGCCAGAGCCCTGGAATAATCACATGAAGCACCATAAAGCAAGGCCCAACTGGACCTACCACTTGGTGCAAATCCACAAAACTACAAAGTCAAGCCCAGTCTAAATGATCAACCTCAGATCTCTGAGAATAAGTGATCATTTTTATTTAAGATTTAAAGTTATTTGGTAATCTCACAATGACAGTAACTAGCTGATACAGAATTTGTGTTGAAAGTGGGTACAGCTGTAAATAAAACAGTGAGTGAAGGTTGAAAAATACTAAGGAAAAAAATATATATATATTGTATAGAAGGAAAACATTTTGTTAAACTTTCACTTCTTTAACTTGGAAGATAAAAATTTGTTATCTTGCAAGCTTGTAGATTTGGGTAAGAGGGTTTTTAAGCAAACTATGAAAAGTATGAGCTATAACTTTTAGGTACATATAATGTATTTCTATAGGAAAGAGATGGGATCAGAAAAGAATTTACAAGTTTGCAAGCAGAATGTTATGAATGTAGAAATGCTGGCTTTGAAAATTAAACTATTCCTCATCTTCAGCTTCCCCAGCCAGCTTCTCAGATTAAGATGTAAAATGGAAGCAAAGATTAAATCAACATTAGTATACAGCCTAGGGGCATAGAACAAATCAAGATTCAGCCCTCATAACCATTTGTTAAGATATCTGAAAGAATTAAAGTAGTACCTAGTAGATTCCCTCCAACTCTAAAAAGGGCTCTAGAGTAGAGCTAGATAACTTTTTAACTTTTTATTGACAATGTAAAAGTCTAACATTGATAAATTTTTTAAAAAATCAGACAAGTTTAATAGATCCATTTTGATTTATATAAAAGAAACAGATGCTATAATTCAGAAAATTGGTATTTTATTTTTGGTAGAATATTTTGGTGTAAAAATCTCAGGAACAAATTTTTATCTCTCAAATGAAGTATTTCTTATATAAGAAAATGATATAGTAAAAGTTTCTTGGCATAGCCTCACAGAAATCTAATGTGTCCAAGATTAAGTGTAGAAAGATAAGCAAACAACAGAGAAAATGTGGGTATGGTATTTGGCCAATGAAGCACACAACAACAAAAAAAAGATAGAGAAGATCCATAATACTTTTGAGAGATCTGAAGGGCAAAAGTACAGGACTAGGAGGGACCAGGCTTGCTGGACATGTAAGACTTCCTAACTACCTACAAGTGGAAGGCAGCCCAAGGTCGTTGCTTAACTTTAGAAAAAGCATTTTAAGCAAAGTCCTTTTCAGAAATGGCTAGGAAGAATGATTAGGAATAAAGAACAATCAAAAGGATGGAACAGTGAGCCCTGACGATAACGGACTGGAGAACCACTCCTAGGAAACAGAATTTAGATCCAGTGCAGTGGGCTAGGCTTGTAATCCCAGCTGTTGGGGGCCCTGAGGAGGAAGATCCCTAGTTCAAAGTTAACCTCAGCCACAGATAGGTGCTAAGCAACCCAGTGAGACCCTGTCTTAAAAATAAAAAAATAGAAAGGACTGGGGATGTGGCTTAGTGGTAAAGTGCCCCTGGGTTCAATCCCTAGTATCCCCCTCTCCCACATAAAATCTTGTCAAGGACCATTCCCTAGTCTTAGAGGAAGGAAATCTAGAAATATTTTCAATTAAGATTTCAAATTTACTATAGAACAATAGCTATTATATGACTGAATCCCATTTTTCTCTCTTTGGTTTTTCAAATAAGGGTACTGATTATTTTTTTCTCTTGCTTTGTTCTAACAATGTATGTTGTGTTTGGGCAAAATAACTTTCCATTTTAAGGTACAGGTTTCTAGTTCAAAAATAACCTCATTAGGGGCTGGGTTTGTAGCTCAGTGGAAGAACACGTGCCTAGCATGTGTGAAGCACTGGGTTTGATTCTCAGCACCATATACAAACACTATAAAGATCCATCAACAACTAAAAATATTTAAAAAACAAAACAAACAAACAAACAAAAAAACCCAACAACAAAACCTTATTGGGACTGATCTTGATTCCAAGATCCTGGGCTTTGAGCCCAGTGTCCTGTGGCATTAGATTTTTAAAGGTTCTGAGATCAGCATGAACAGTTTGTTTTGGTTTTTCATGGAAGAGGGCTTACAATTTATTAATTGTGGCCAAGACTGTAGATTGTCATAGACTGAAATTTTGTCTCCAGTTTTTAATTCCTTTCTACATCCACATCCTCATCATATGTTGATTGGAAGAATAATGGTAGAATATTTTGGTTTATAGATCTTTCAGATTCCTTGATTCTGACCTTTTCCATGTGCATTGTCTGAGTTCAGATAGACAGAAGTGGCAGTTGTAACTGTTCTAAGCCTAAATCCTTAGTGGCATCATTAAAGATTTCCATGAAGAAATCTTCCCTAAAACCCAGAAGGGACTGAGAGAGATCCACAACTTGAAGCAGAGCTACCTATCAGCATCCGGTGTAGACCAGTTGACACTGGGTCCCTGTCCTCGTTCATCCTAACCCTTCAAAACCCTTTATCAGATTCAAAGACTGAAGTTAACAGTGTCATATGCTACAGAGGTACAGGCTGAAGTAGACCAACAAAGTCCCCTGGGTAAGAAGACACTACTTATCTTCTAGAAAGCATTCTGAATAATGGACAGGTGATTGTTTTATTGTTGTTTCTCCTAGGATTAGAAAGTTATTCTTAAATGAGGCATTAAATAGACAGAATTCATTTTTGAGGGCTACACTGCAATCTGTTTCATGTTTGGCATCCAACTCAGCTCTGTACCCTTCTCCACCATACTTTCTACCCCAGGGAGGCTGCCATTTGTGTGCTAGTCAGTGGAACCTCTACCTCTCTGGTTTCTGTAATGTTCCACCAATGGGGAGCCCTAACAGGAGATCAGAGCTAGGTGTGACTGAGACAAGGGTGCATATTCACCTGTATCTCCTAAATTCCTCCCACCTGGGTCACCATGGGCTGGCTCTTTCTCTAGGTCAATCACTGACCATCTTTGTTCCCAACAGGGCATTGTCCTGCTGTGTTTGGGTAAAGGACTCCTTTCCTCAGGTCCCTAGTGAAAGGAAAGCAAGGAGCTGGGAGATGGGCAAATGAGAAATGAAAGATGGAGACCAGGCAGAGATACACATGAGAGAGTTTATTTGTCAGAGCTCACCAATAAAGGCACATCTCTCCATAGACGGAGAGAGGCAAAACAGGCTTGAGGTTCCAGACTTTTATGGGGGAGGTTCAGGGATTAGAGCTCAGCAGGGCCTAATGCAGGTGGTGAAGGGTGGGGTGGTTATGAGGGAGTGGTGAGCCTTTCTCAGAAACGCCCTTGGGCGGGGAAGTGAAATTTTTCGTAAAATGGCGGCTGTCACTTAAGATGGCTGTCCAGATGCTAAGCAAGGACCTTACACCTAGGGTGGTAATATCTCCATTCCCAATCTCTGGGACAATCCTTTCACTTGTGATTTTTCTAAATCCTACCCTTTATAGACAGTTCAATGTAGTATGCTAGAATTTTGATGAAGACATAAATAATAAGATTTATAGAATATGAATCATGGCTATTCAGTTTCATCTGAAATAATAAGAAAGCAATAGCGTATAAAGGCAACACATTTCTTAAAATTGATGGCACTCAGCATTTACATGCACATTCTCATGATATAATCATTAAATAGAAATACTTACTGTCTCAACTTTTAAGTTATGATATATAAAATTCTACATTGATAATAGTTTTATAAATCAGGCATGTTTAATTTTCAAGACAGATTTAAATTATACAAAAGAAATAAAGTTACATAACTATTAATTAGATGTACTTGATATCTCAAATTTTCATTTATGATATTTAAAACTAATATCAATAAGATTTTTTTTAAATCAGGCACACTAAATTTTCTTTTTTAAACTTTTTTTTATTTATATATGACAAAAGAATGAATTACAATTCTTATTACACATATAGAACACAATTTTTTCATGTCTATGGTTGTGTACAAAGTATATTCACACCAATTTGTGTCTACATACATGTACTTTGGATAATAATGGCTATTACATTCCACCATCATTTCTAACCCCGTGCCCCCTCCCTTCCCTTCTCACGGCTCTATCTTATCAAGAGTTCATCTGTTCCTCCCTTCTTCCCCCTTCCTACCCTACTATGAATCAGCCTCCTTATATCAGAGAAAACATTAGCATTATCTTCTCCAGTGCCATCCATTTACCTGCAAATGCCATGATTTTATTCTTTTATTGATGAGTAATATTCCACTGTGTATATGTGTCACATTTTTTTTATCCATTCATCTATTGAAGGGCATCTAGGTTGGTTCCACAGTTTAGCTATTGTGAGTTGTGCTGCTATAAACATTAATGTGGCTGTGTCCCTGTAGTATGCTGTTTTTAAGTCTTTAAGTCTAAAGACTGAGGAGAGGGATAGCTGGGTCAAATAGTGGTTCCATTCCCAATTTTCCAAGAAATCTCCATACTGCTTACCATATTGGCTATACCAATTGGCAGTCCCACCAGCAGTGAATGAGTATACCTTTTCCCCACATTCTCACCAACACTTATTGTTGTTTGTCCTCATAATAGCTGCCATTCTGACTGGAGTTAGATGAAATCTTAGAGTAGTTTCGTTTTTTGTTTTTTTTTTAATCAGGTAAACTAAATTTTCAATATACATTTTAAATTTTTCAAAATAAATAGTGACATATTTTAGAGAACTAATATTTTTATTTTTGATAGCATGCTTTGATTTTCTACCTTTAGGGATAGCTTTTCATATATTATAGAGCTGAAGTATTTCTTCTGTAGAAAGTTAGTCATGTTATCTTAGAAGATGTATAAGTTTGAAAAACATTATATATTCAAAGGTTAGCAGAATTCATTGGTTGGAGGTTGGGCATTTAAGTTATTCATTATTAATAATTTATGTACGATTGCTTATTGAGTCTGATTCTCAGCCAATATTGGAAAAGTATAGATGTATATGATCACCAGAAATCCATGGCTTATGTGGGCGCCCTGACAATCTGGTCATGTCAGAACATGAAGCTCTGGTTGCATGACTGACATGGTTTCACCTAGCTTTCCAAGGAAAGAACTGGAAATCCCCTTATGGTATTTTATAAAACCTAAATTCACTGACATGGAGACTTCAGCATAAAATCCACATTTTACTTGATAACACATTAACACTTTTCTTTCCTAAGGTAAAGATTAAAGAGTATAAAACCAAATTGACAACTTAGAAAAGTGGAAATATTTGTGAAGAATTCACTGTCATTTTATGATGAAATGATGATTTCTGCCCTTAAGAATTAGAGAAATTCTTTGTTTCCCTTTGAGATAAAAGAAGCTAAAATGTTTTTGTTGAGTAAACAATGGGGACACACACACACACACACATAGGCATGTACATGTGCAAGTGTGGTGGTAGTTTTTTCCTAAGACATAAATCATTCTGTTCTTTCCATTGAAATCTTTGGTTAAACTTATTTCAGAGGCCTGGGCTATAGTCGCTCTGCATGGTATGCTTCAGGGCAAGTAAAACATGAATTCCAATAAGCTAAGTCATAGGAGAATAATAGCAGTGCAAAACTGAAAAGCTTAGGATGGGAGATGAGCTAGTTTTTTTCCCTTCTGCATAGACCCCACACAGAGTCTGACTGAGGGAGGTCACTAGTGCAATCAGACTTCAAGGACACAAGAAGACACCCAAGATCTCAGGACCCTATCATGACTTTAACCTGGAGAAGAGATCTGGATGCAGATTTTGAAAGCAAGGCCCATTCAATAATAAAGATACCCCAAAATCTTCATTTAAAATGACGTGTGAATGTTTAAAATTTCTCATTGTCCATTCTTGAAGAAAATCTACCAGTTTTGCTTAGACGTGAGAGTAAAATTAAGAATAATTCAGCTTTTCCAAGGACACAAGCTCCAAAGCATAGTCATCTCTGACTCTTTTTCTTTGTTTCCATTTATTTCAGTAAGTTGTCAAGAACTTCCAGTTTTAGTAGACCAAACACCTCATCAAACTGCCCCTCCTCTCCCATTTCCATGCCCACTACTCAATCTTTCAGCCAAATACTTTGGTATTGGGTAATAAGCTCCTAAATTAATCCTCTAATCCTGGTATTTCCTCTTCCCACTTCCCACACCATGATTAGATTAATTACTAGAAAAACTCACCTTTCAACCTGTCATGACTTTGCTCTAAATCTTTAAGGATGCTAGATAGTAAAACCCAACTCTTTTATTTGGCATTCAAATCCAGCTCAACTTAAACTTTAAAACCTTATGGAGCCATGAATAGAAATAATATTTTACAACCACTAAAACTTAGATCTGCTTAACAGTTTACAAATGGTGTTTATGCACACAATCTCATTAGATCCTCTAAAAAAAACTGGTAGGAAGGTGATGTTTACTAATATTATCATTATTACCATGTTTGGGGACATCAGCACAAATGGTTTGTATCTTTTCCTGCATTGTCTTGGGGTGAGGGGAGGAATGTGAAAGGAAAATGGCAAAGAAAAGCAGGGTAGAGGCAGGCTTTGCAAAGTGGCCTGCGGTGGAGGGCAGGCCTGTGTCAGCAAAGGAGTTTACTTCTTGGCTTCTTGAAGAATGAGAGAAGCAAATGGTTGAATTCCTCAGGCCACATTGGCCCCTTCAGAGAAAAAACTGCTGCTGTTACCTGTGATTTGTAATACACCAGAAAAAAAGTTAGTACTGCAAGATTTTTGGTTTGTGATACCAGGGATTGAACCCAGGGCAGTGAGAACACGAGGCAAGTACTTCACCAGTGAGCTGCATCCCCAGCTGGGCTATATAATGTTTTCATGGCTCCTGCTGTTGGTACATGGGAGAAGATGAAATTCATTACAGGAAGAGAAATGGGAGTTAGGAAGAGGATTTGGGGATGACTTACCATCCTAATAACTTTCTTTCACTCTCCTGCAACTTCCTTCTCACCAATCCTCTTTCCTGTTACAGCAGGAAAAAAGACCCCTGACCATTGAGATTGAGCTTGTAGCTCTTCCCTACAAACATCTTCCTCCTTCAGGTTTCCTTGCCTTTCTCATCATGCTACGTGAAGGACTGGTTAGTCTTTGAGTTTTAGGCTAGAGAAGGAGTTTAAAAAGAGCTTGTCTTTTTGTTTTTCTTATGTTGTACTTCCATTTCCTGAATGTTTGTTGCATTTTCCTCTTGCTACTTCCACTGATGATTCCCTCTCCGTAGTCCATAGTCCAAATACAAGCAATCATCTTAATTACCAGTATCAATCATTGGCAGAGCACTTCATGCAAAGCCTCTCCATGAATTGCTGACTAGATTGCAGATGGCCCACCTTTGTATCAAGAGCCCACTCAGACCAATAAGTGAGCCTAATGAAGAGGTTGGGGTGAAATAATTATAACTATAATAGGAAGATGAACATGACAGCCATCATGAGTGATATGTCCAGGAAATGGTCCCCCGTCATGCCTCTACTATCCTTTCTATTGATCCTTCAAAGAACAACTTTTGTTTTTGTTTCCTTCTTGAAACTTTCCCTACTACCTCCGGTCACAACATAATTGAGTGACTAGAATAGAAAGTTTGACATCAAACATCTCACAATCATTACAAAATTCATCCCTTAACTTGGTGCTTCTGAAATTGAAATGTATAGAGAATCACCTAGAAAGCTGATCAATAAACAAATTTTCCAGAGATCTAATTTAATAGGATTGAGTTGGGGCCTCAGAGTTTATATGTCTGACCAACTTCCAGGTGATGCTGGTACTACCTTTCTGTGGAACACACTTTGAGTACAACTTCTGAACTTCCTGGGTTTGAGCATATTATGCAGTATCTACCTTTAGAATGGAGACGTTAACAGCATCTATCTCATTGGACTCTCTTGCATTTACAGGAATCAAAATGTATTCTGTGTTTGATTTATAGTAAGCATAAAAATTAATTGGCTCATCTTCTCATTCTCTGATCTATTTTAATTTTTCAATTAACAATATTAATTCAGTGTCTGAAATATGGTTCTTCTTTAAAATCAACTTAGCACTGATATAAATTCAAATGGTGGTATAGCACAGGTCTCCAGTCAGGTTCCAAGCCACTCGGAGAGGAAGCATGGCTCCATATTATTTAATATAGTAAGCACTTATGGTTCTCTATGAAGAAACAATGGAATGTTAGAATGGATAGTCAAGGTCTGATATCCAGTACCTCAGTTTGACTTGTAGCTCTGGTACTTAGAATCTGAGTGAGATTACACAAGTTACTTGGCCTCATCCTTTATTAGTGTCCTCTTATTTAAACTGGAAATAACAATAGTAGCTTTCTCAGAGGGTCATTGTATTAAATGAGGCACAATATGTAAAGCAGTCGGAAGGGTGCTTTCCACATAATAGAACCACATATGTGTTAGTTATTAATATTGAATACATTGTATCATTTCTCCTGGGAGAAAGACTGATAATTTTAAAAGAATAAAAGTTGAATATTAAAACAATATTAAATTCTTTACTAAACTACAGTTATTTTTAAGTATTACAAAATAAAGTTTTTAATTTTTTTCTGGGTTCTATGTTCACACAAAACAAGTTGTATGCTAACTATCATCACATATTCAAAAAGTTGTAAATGTTTACATCTCTTTCAAATTTATGTTGGCTGCCCAGTACTGACGTTGATTCATCATCCTTCCTTCACCATGATACATACTATTTTTTAAAAGAGCTTTCCTGAGTTGAGCCTTTTTACAATTTATAAAAAGTGGTTTTGGGATATGATCAAGCATGTACAGTTGTGAATATTGAGCAAATTTATATATAAATATAATGAGTGGAACATATAAAATATACTCATCATGCTAACATTTTCTTTATTGCTTTGTAACTATTTACTTATCTCTCCTCCTTGCTAACACTACCTTATTAAAATCATAAAAATTTTACTTTCTATAAGCCAGGAAGAATGTGCATGTCATGGCAGAAAGAACATAATTTTTAGAGTCAGACCCCTATGGATTTCAATGAGATCTTCAAACCAGCTATGTGACATTGAGAAAATTCAGCAATGTCTTTTAGTCTTTGCTTTCAGAGTAGAATATCATGAAATTTGTAGATAGCATCACTTACCATGAAGTGTCATAGTAAAGATGACATTTGATAATGTATGCACTTGGCTCAAAAAAGATATTATATTAATAGTAGTTAAATACTTTCTTGTATTTTTGGCATCAACCTTGGTGAGTAATACAGTAAAGGTACTTGTTGAAAATATTCCTTGAAATAATTGAGGTATAAATTCAAGATCTTGGTAGTGCTTCATTCTTCATGTTACATAATTCCAGACTAGAAATCAGTATGTTCAGTAGCTCCAAACCACTGAGCCTTGGCTTTCCTCAACTTTTTCTACACAATGGAAACAATGCAGGTCACTTCATAGTACATTAATTAAATACTGGATTACTCTTTGGGTTAGTTCAACTAACAAACAAAACTATATGAGATAGGAAATTCTAAGAATACTTTTGAATTTTCCTCAAGATTTTTTTAACCTATTCTGTTTTCCTTCTTTCCATGAACACAGTAAAAATTATTTTATTGCAGTGGAATAATTCATCTGAAGAAACTTCTGAGAGAATTCCTAATAGAATGTGTTAGAATGAAAATGCTTATTGGTTATTATCTTGAAATAAGTTGTTTAAAATAATTTCAGGCCACAGATTTTACATTTGTTTAATAGAAAAGATAATACTCACTAAACTGTTTGGTGGTGAGATTGGTTTGCATTTCTAACTCTTTCACCAGTTCTTTCTTTTTATTCAATATATGATATCTCAGTATTAAGGACATTTTGATTGTTCTTATTGCTTCTGTTTTGAATTTCCTCCTATGAGAGTTTCCATTCTTTTGGACAGACAGTGTGGTTATGGCAGTTAGCTAACTGTACCCTAAAATTTAAAGTTCTTCCTGCAGTAGGATATTAGGACAGGAAAACAATTGCACAGTCATGGTAATGTGCATTTAGATGTGGCCATGTGACTACTTCTTTACAAAGGAATGTGTGCCAAGATATTTAAATGGCGGGAATTTTCTATTCTTTCCTTCCCTTCTAGATGCAGAGGACTTCAAGATCCCAGGAAAAGGCGGTACATAATACTGAGTCACTTGTACAGAAAAGCCCCTGGCTGAAAAAGATCAAGTGCAACCAAATTATTACATGAATGAGGAGGAAACATTTATTGTGTTAAGCCACTAAAACATGAAGATTTATTTGTTGTAGCACCTAGCATTACTCTAATACTATAGAAAAATCGTTTTTCTTTAAATGGCATATGTGTCCTCTGCATATAAACCTGGCAGAGGATTCTATACAGAAAAGGACTATATATGTGTTAAGTAGAAAGTGGAAGTAATCAAATTCCTGCCTTCAGATTATAGGGGAAGTGAGGAGGAGAAGTTTTTAATCTGGACTGCAATGTTAAAAAATATTGAGTTAACTGCCAATGGTTTTAAAATCACATATAATCACTGGGTGCAGTGGCACATACCTGTAACACCAACGCTTCAGGAGACTGAGACAGAAAGATTGCAAGTTCAAAGCCAGCCTTAGCAAAAGTGAGGTGCTGAGCAACTCAGTGAGACCCTGACACAATAAAACACAAAATAGGGCTAGGGATATGACTCAATAGCTGAGTGCCCCTGAGTTTAATCCCCAGTATCCCCCTCAAAAAAATCACATACAATCTGAATATTTGGCATCTTGAAAATTTGGAGGAGTTTACCACCCCATGTCCATGTTCCCACAATGACCAATTGGCTGTGGGTGAGAACTAGGTGACCAAAAGTTTCCTACATCTTCCTAACATTTCCTAGAATATTCTGTATAAACTTGGAAAATTTATCAGAATCTACCCAGGTTTATAATCTAGGGAACCAGTTACAGCAGATGGACCAAATGAGAGAATTACAGAGAACTACAGAATAAATTAGGGATTGACCAAATGAAAAAAAAAAAAAAAAACAAAAAAACAAAAACAAACAAACAAACAAAAAACTAATATTAAGACTTGAATGGAGAGAAACAGGATAGTGTTGTAGAAGGCTGTGACTGCTTCAAGTGCTGGACCCATAAGAAATACAGCTGTTGCTGAAAAACAGTCGGAAACAGAGGAAGAGAAGGGTTGGGGAGATTAGAAATAACTATCTCCTAATTGAACTTATTATTTAGAAGGCAGGGTGATAGGATTGTGTAACACAATCCTATGGCTATACATATAATAGTGAGTTGGCTAAGAACCTCCCATACTGAGGCCAAACACATTTGTCTGAAGCAAAGTTTGGTGAGAACAGTTTGTTAAGGGAAATTCGCATTGTAGTTCCAGACCTACTGATAGATTTCTTCCAACATGCATATTCTTACCATACAGAGAGAGAGGAATGAGATTAAGAGATTTCAAGAGAACACATGTTGGAGACTTAGGCATAATGAGGATTCCATATTGGGGATGTGATGCAAATAAAATAACAATAATAATTACAGCTTTAGTTGCTCAGAAGTTAAGTATGTAATGCACTTAAGTACCTGGCTTTTCAGAGTCCAGCAATAAAATTCAATTCACATCAGGACTTAATTTTATATACTCTCATATTTGTTTTTTCTGTGTTTCACATCAATAACTGCTGC